CAAGGTTCAATCTCCAGCACCCCATGCAGTCCTTCAAACACTACCATGACTGATCTCTGAGCACAGAGCCAGGCATAAGCCCTGAGAACTGCCGGTGTGGTACAAAAAAACAAAACAAAACAAAACAAAACAAAACACTATTTTTGCACAGTGAGGAAAATCTGTACAAAACATCCTCCATCTTACCAATGAATGAGCTTAGTACAAGAAAGACTAAGGCTTGCTTAGATTTCATGAATATGGAGAGCCAGGATTTGAACTCAAGCTGTTTCAATCATGAAACCATGGCCATTAACCTCTAAGCTTGACACGGTGAAATCACACTGAAGCATCCTTTGTTTGGGCTTTCAAAAATTACAATAATAAAAATTGTAATGTAATAATTCTCTGAAAAGTGGGGACTGAAAAAAAAATAATACCTTCACTTGTTTTGAATGCAGCCAACCCCAATTCCATTCCCAGCTACAAGAAGCTGTACACTAGTGAAAATTATACTAATGTTATTTCAAATCTCTGTGTATAACCTCTATAGTCTGTCTCATTCTGAGCTACAGCAGCAGGTGTACATGCTGTGTGTCAGAAATAGAGCAGTGACCTAAATTTAACTCCCAGAGCTACAAGCAGCACACCATGGCATTTATGAGTCAACAGCATCCAATCTCTAGATAAAATGTGCTGCCCTCTAGTGATTTCAACACCTCACATGTAACATTAACCAGAGCTAAGAAAGAGAACCTTTCTTAGAGAAATAAATCAACTAATTTAGAAAACAAAGCATTGGTTCCTGCAAAGCTAGTATGCTATCAACGAGCCACATTCTTGACCCCTTGGATTATATTTTGAGACATGAATTCTTTCAACACGTAAAACCATCCTGTACTCTCTACTTTCTCTTTTTGCCATGTTTTGGCCTAGGTTTTTCATAAACATTCCAAATTAATGACTCGCCAGTGGATATCTTTCCATCTTTGTTCCTGCATACCAAATTTACTCTTCTTATAAAACTGATTTTGGGCTGGAGAAACAGCACTGCGGGTAGGGTGTTTGCCTTCCATGCTGCCTACCTGGGGTCCAATCTCTGGCATCCCAGAAGACCTTCTGAATCCCACCAGGAGTGATCCCCGAACACAAAGTCAGGAGTCAGTCTAAGAACTGCTAGGGATAAACCCAAAACAACAACAATTTTAAAAAATGAATGAATTCATTTTCTAATAACTAAATTTCTACATAAGTCTGAATTTGTACTCTGAAAAGCATAATGAAGGGTCATGATGTAGCTCAAAGACAGAGCAGACGCCTCCACACGCCAGGCTGAGTTGTCTGGGAGACCCTGGAGGTGGGGCATGTAAGTCCACCACCCACCCAGAAAGAGCTCCCACAGCCAAAAACCTCACATCCACAATTGCCACCATGATCATGCCAGACTCCACTGCTCGGGACAAGCCTCATCCAGAAATGAATTTGTTGAAGCACTCAGGTACGCAGGTTTTGTGACTGAAATCTCCAGGCTCTTACAGAGTCAGGGATGGGCTACCTCCCCATATCTCTCCATACTTTCAGAAGCTTTGGCAGTCAGGCTCATATCCCAAAGTTAAAAATGTAACTCCAGCTGTATCACCCCATTCAAAATTTTGGAATTCCTAGAATGACATCTCAAACTCTACATCAATGATAAACCAGAAGTAGTACAGCACATTGGATAAGATGTAAAGTATAAGGCAACCAATCTCAATTAACAAAAATCTAAACACCCAAGGCTTAAACCTGTAACAACATGCTGGTAATCTTTTATTCAAGGTCTTAATGGCTCGATGGTGAGATACAACAATCTTCACTAACTTTATTCTATGGAAACATTTTTGATCATTTTTAGCAAATTATTTATAATAAGCAATATAAAATAATTATTGAGGGCCTGCTATAGGAGCAGGCTTAAGGAGTGGTTGGGAAAATTGTAAATAATGGTGGTGGAATTGGTGTTGAAATACTGAATGTAATAAATCATCATGAACAACTTTGTAAAAAAAGAAAGAGTTTACAGTAAAAAAAAAAAAAAGAGCACTCGCCTCACACATGAAGCTCTGGGTTCAATCCCTAGCATTGCAAAAAGATAAAATAAAATAAAATGACAATTATAACTTAATATGACAATATTAAGTTTAGCCTTATGCGGTATGATTTTGCTTTCTTTTTTCTCTTGTCTTTTCCATGTTTGTTCACATTATTGTTGTCCCACGTGGCCACTGGCAGTTCCGGCATAGCCACTGTGATCCCTGAAACCAAGTAAATACGCAAAGTATACCCGGTGCACCAACCAGGTATATGCCAGCACTTTAACGAAGTGTGTGAGCCCCAGGTGCACAAGTGTGTGCTGCCCAATAACAAAAGGAAAGGGATAATAAAATGATAAAACAATAGTGCGTAAAACAAAACAGAATTCAAATCCTATGCCAATACTATTTTTCTATATGGAATAAATATAAAGAAGAGTTAAAATACACTATAGCTATCTTTCCTTTTTTTGTAGTTGCTGATTTGTTTGTTTTTTGGTGTCATACTCGGCAGTGCTCAGGGCTTAGTCCTGTCTCTACACTCACTCTTGGCAGTGCTTGAGGCACCATATAAGGTGCTAGGGATTGACTGCGTGCAAGGCAAGTGCCTTAGCTCCGTCTTGTCTTTCCAGCCCCTTATATTTAATTTATTACTGTGCTTGGATAACAACAATATAAAAATGACTGCAGAGATATGAATGGAAAAAAAACCTTTGTATACTGTTGGTGGGAATGAAATTAGTGTAGTCATTGTGGAAAACAGTATGAAGACCCTCCCCTCAAAAAATTTAATGGACCAGAGAGATAGTAAAAGGCTTAAGACACTTATCTTGCACGTAGCAAACACCAGTTCAACCCGCACGCATCACCAGAGTGACCACCTCGGAGTACAGAACCAGGAGTAGTCCCTGAGCACTGACGGGCATGGCCCAACCTGCCTCCCCTAACCCCCAAAAGAGCTTGGAAAGAGAGCTCAGGGCTCACGACATGCTTTGCATTCAGGAGGTCTTGAGTCAATCCACACTACACAGTCCTCTGAATACCACTGTGAGTGACTGATCCCTAATCACAAAGTCACAAGTAGCACCCAAGCACTAGCCCAAAACAAAACAACCAAAAATTTAAAAATAGAAATTCCATACAACCCAGCTATCCCAATTCTGGGTATCTGCCTAAAGACTATAAAAACATTACACCTAAGTGCTATCCACACCCCTGAGTTCATCAGAGCATCAAGGACAATAGTTTGGACTGGGAAACAAAGTAAGTGCCATAGGCAGATGACTGATATAGAAGATGTGCTACACATACGCAATGAAATACTTCTCAGGTACCAAAAAGATTAAATTCTGCCCTGTACAACAACGAAATGGAACTGAGTGAAGTCAGATGGAGAAAGACAAACACTGTCGGATTTCACTCCTATGTGGTGAAAACAAATCGAATGAACAAAGAAAACAAAAATAAACTCTTAGAACATAAGACAAAATTAATGGTTAACAGAAGTTACTGGGCAAGTTGGAAGAAAGGAGCCCAGCAGGTTGTGAAGGGCAGAACTGGTCAACTAGAGCATCCACAGACGTTAGTTTACAATGATGTACATCTGCAATGTGTGTAAGCCAGTATTACTTCAGGAAAAAAAATTTACAAAATGGTTCCAAATTTAACAATAAAGTAAAAATAACAATAAATAATCACCAAAATCACTTGCAGAAGTTTTATAAGTGAAACCAAAAGGGAGCGTGGACAGTAACAAAGAATCTCAGTTTTTCTGATTACTAGGTGAAATGGCACCACCTAGAGTAACTTGGTTTACAAGTGGTTTACAAGTCACCAGGCCCATGAGTTTTGAAATTGACTTTTATTTGTTTGTTTTGGGGGCCTCATATTGCGATGCTCACAGGTTACTCCTGTCTCTGCACTCAGGAATCACTCCTAGCAGTGCTTAGGGAACCATATGGGATGCCAGGGATCAAACCCAGGTTGGTTGTGTATGAGACAAGAGCAGTATCCACTGTACTTCACTTCAGCTCCAGAAACTAAGTGATCCTTGTTAGATTTTTCAAAACATGGGGTGCTGGTGATGTAGCAAGTGATAAAGCACTTGCCCAGTATATGTGCTGGGTTTGAGCCCCAGCACCATAAAAAAAAAAGAGGGAAGATATGCATTATTTAAAAAAATGTAATACAAAGAATTATTTTGTACTATTTCAAATTCACAAATATTCACTCAAAATTAGCTTTACAGCAGCCATACTTCCTCTTAAATTACTTGACATACGTATAATTCACATATCATTAAATACTTTCAGGGGGCCTGAGCAATAGTACATAGTGAGTACGCATTTGCCTTGCATGCATCCGACACTGGTCCGATCCTCAGCATCCCATATGGTTTCCAATCCCACCAGAAGTAAGTCCTGAGCACAGAGCCAGAAGTAAGCCCTGAGCTCTGCTGGGTGGAGGTAAAAAAAAAATAATAATAAACAAACAAACAGTCTCTCCCTTTTTGAGTACAATTCTATATACATTGGTATATGTATGGAGTTGTGTAACTATCACCATAATTATCTTAGAAACATACCATACTTTTTTTAAAGAGAGGTATACTTGATATATATGTGTACAGAGATCATAAGTTCAATATTAATAATACTGAAAAAAGCAAAAAAGCTAATGTAATTCTTAGGCTCTATTATTATAATGGTCAGGTTTCCAGTTCATTATAGAGAAAGCATATAAACATCCCAAAGGTCCTTTTAGTAGGAAGAAGAAAAACAAAACAAAATGCTTTAATGCAGCAATGTACAAGGTCAAAGAGATAGCACTTCATGCAGCTGATGCAGTCTGATCCCTGACACCACAGAAGCAGGGGAAAGCCCTGAGCCCAGCCAGGTTACACCTCTCCCCCCCAAAAAAATCCTAAAATAAAACCTAATAGCATCTTACCAATATCATTAGCAAGGGAATTTGGGTCAGAAGTCCCCAGGGTAGCTTCAAACTCCTCCTGGAGACGATAGGCTCTTTGCAGCAACGCTTCAAGTTTATGGATAAACTCAGAACTAATAATATCCTACAATGAAAAGGTACACATAGCAAACATCATGTTGCAATGTTGAAATTCCAAACATTCTCTACTTTTCAGTGAAAGTCAGGCAAAGTCAGGGATATATTTAAAAAAAAAAAAAACCTACTGCTTGATAGTGGAAAAACTGCTGAGACACAAGTCTCAGGAGAGAACCCAAGAATATAGTATAATATAGCAGGCAGGATGCTTGCCTAGTGAGCAGGAATTCAAGTTCCTGCTTCCTCTGCTTGGTAATCTGAGTTTTACAATCCAAATTGCAGTTTTAAAAAGATCTCCAGTATGGCAGAGCGATAGTACAGAGTAGGGCATTTGCCTTGCATGCGGCTGACCCGGGTTCAATCCCTGGTATCCCATATGGTCTCCTGAGCACTGCCAAGAATAATTCCTGAGCACAGAGCCAGGAGTAAACCCTGAGCATCACAGGGTGTGACCCAAAAAGTAATAATAATAATAATAATAATAATAATAATACAAAAAGATCTCCAGAGAGCACAGAGGTTAAGGTGTTTGCCATGCAAGTGGCCAGCCTCATTCCAATAGATAGTACTATAGATGGCCCCTGAGCACAGAGCACAGAGTAACTCCTGAGCACAGATGGTGTGGTCCAAGTCCCCACCCCCAACTTCAAAAAAATTTCCTTTAGGGCCAGAGAGACAGTACATAAGTACGGCATTTGCCTTGTACACAGCCAACTCGGATTCAATGCCAGCACCCCATATGATCCTTTGAGCACACCAGGAGTGATCACACTCCCTGAGTGCAGAGCCAGGAGTAACACCTGAGTATCGCTGGGTGTGACCCAAAAAGGAAACAAAAAATTTCCTTAGGGGCCAGGGAGATAAATCAAGTAGTAGACCTAGGGCTAGCAGGCACAGTCCTGAGGTTTAACGTTAATCTAGCACCTCATGCCCACCCAGCAACAATGGACATAATCCAGATGGCCACCAGAGACACCCCACTTAAGCACCACTAGGTATAACCCCCGTAAAAAATATTCATCTAGAAACCACATCTGGTTAATTCCCAATTTGATGATTAAGCTTCAAATCTGAACTTCAACAACTTAAATAGAAAAACTCAACAAAAAGTACTTTTTATCATGGACAGGCAACAATTTAGGGAACTTAGAGCCTTGAAACCAGTTTTGCAAGAAGCATTAAAAGAACTGCTTGAGAGAGAGAGAGAGAGAGAGAGAGAGAGAGAGAGAGAGAGAGGAGAGAGGGAGGAAGAGAGAAGAGAGAGGAAAAGCGCCTGCCAAAGAGGTAGGCAGAGGTGGGGGTTGTCGGGTGATGGGAGGGAACCTGAGGACACTGATGCTGGGAAGTATATACTGGTGGAGGGATGGGCGTTGGAATACTGTATGGCTGAAATCCATTCATGAAAAGCTTTGTGAGGGTATAGTTTCACAGTGATTCAATAAAAAAAAATGTTAAAAAAACTAAAAAGAACTGCTTTAAAGGACAGGAAAAACTTCCCATTCTGTGGCATTGAGTACGGCACACCTTAATGCCGCATATGGTTGTCCTCTACTAGACTAAGAATGGTTAAAAACATATAACAACAATCACCACAAATTGACTTTATTGATTTTGTTTGTTTTCTGACATTCTATTTGCATTCCTTTAAGCTTTGTTGGGGGAAACAGTACAAAATAAACTTGTTATATGCATGTCAAAGAGGCAGGCTGGAGAGTGGGAGGGAACCTGGGACATGGTTCAGGGAAGGGGACACTCAACTTTGTAAATAGTACTGTAGCACTGTCCTCCCATTGTTCATCGATTTGCTCAAGCAGGCCCAGTAATGTCTCCATTGTGAGACTTGTTGTTACTGTGTTTGGCATACCCAATACGTCATGGGTAGCTTGCTAGGCTTTGCCAGGCAGGCGAAATAATCTTAATAAAACTTTTAAAAATTAAAAATAAGTTTAAAAAGCATTTTAAAAATAATCCCAAAAGGGAAAAATATATGGTTTTATTAAATGCAGCGAACAGCAAATACACTAAATCAACATTAAAAGCAGTTTACTTTTGCCAATATTACGAAGGAAACTTTCAAATAAACCATGCTTACATCTACAGTCTCCTCAGCAATGGCATCTCCTGCACCCAGTTTAATGGAACCACAGGCTTCATCTTCGGCCTGTCTATGTCGAAAGGTTAGAGCCTGCTCCCATCGACGCAGTGCTTCTTCAAACAGTTCCATACCTACAAAGAACAGAAAATTAGAAAGAAGCAAAACCAAAGTCAAAGTAACATTACTTGGGGTCTGAAATGCTTCGCATATGATCATCATAAATGAGGTGATCTGATTTGAGCACAAAAAAATAACTTTATCTAGAATCAGAGAGGGCTGGAGCGATACCACAGCGGGTAGGGGGCTTGCCTTGCACTAGGCCGACCTGGGTTCAATTCCTCCACCCCTCTCGGAGAGCCCAGCAAGCTACCGAGAGTATCCCACCCGCACGGCAGAGCCTGGCAAGCTCCCCATGGTGTATTCAATATGCCAAAACAGTAACAAGTCTCACAACAGAGACGTTACTGGTGTCCACTCGAGCAATATGATGAACAACAGAGGACAGTGCTACAGTGCTACAGTACAGGATCAGAGAGACAGTACAGCAAATAAGATGCTTGCCTTACTTGCAGGTGACCAGGGCTCAATCTCCAGCCCCATATATGGTCCCCCAACCCTGGAGTGATCCCTGAGTGCAGAGCAAGGAGTAAGTCCTGAGTACCTCCAGGTGGCCCCAAACAGCAAAAAGGCAAAAATAAATAAAAAATAATGTTATCAAATCTTGGAACACTTCTTAAAAGAATCTTAACGTCCCCCCAAAAACATCCTGTTGACAATTCTAGTAAACCAAATTTATTTTATCACATCTTGTAGTACTTTTTAATAGAATCTTAAAGTTCCCCACCATCCCCTCTGCCCCAAATCCTAAGTTGACAATTCTAGTCAACCAAAAAAAAAAAGAAGAAAAAAATATTTCTTTAAATGTATTTCAAATATATATATATATGTGTGTGCATATATGATAATTTAAAATTTAACTAAAACAACATCATGAGATCATCAAAAGTCCAACAATTTAAATTTTTACAGTCATACAACTATGGTTCCTAAATTAAAAGAGAAAACGGAAGAAAAACTGGACAGATATACACACAAAAATCGGTAGAAGAAATTAGTTGGAAAGAAGCTATGAGTTTGGGGCTGGATTTGCACATGGCTGACCCGGGTTTGATTCCCAGCATCCCAATATGGTCCCCCAAGCACTGCCAGGAGTAATTGCTGAGTGAAGAACCAGGAGTGGCCCCTGTGCATCGTCGGGTGTGACCCAAAAAGAAAAAAAAAAGAAGCTATGAAGTTTATAAGACATTCCCACTGTCAAGAGAAGACAGTCCAGCTAAAAGATAATAGCATATAGTAGAAAATAAAATATATTACCATCTTTTTTCCACCAAAAGATATCTTAACTCACTATATACCAACTTGTTGATTTCAATACAGAAATTTCTGGATCAGAAAGACAATTAGAAAAGACCCATAAGTCCAGTTAGGATTTTACTTTTAATTGCTGTTAATAGAAATGTTTGAGGTATATATGTGCCCAGTTTTTCTTCCAGATAAATCATCACTGCCCTCCCGTTGTTCATCAATTTGCTCGAGCGAGCCCAGTAATGTCTCCATTGTGAGACTTCTTGTTACTGTGTTTGTCATATTGAATACTCTCGGTAGCTTGCCAGGCTCTCCAAGAGGGGCAGAAGAATTGAACCCGGCTGGGCTGGGCTGGCTGTGCGCAAGGCAAACGCCCTACCGCTGTGCTATCACTCCAGCCCATTATATATATAATGATTCTACATCTAAAAAACCCCAAATATTCAAAAATTCAACTTTTCTTGACATGCAAAAGATTTTTCAAAGTTGCTTAAGAAGCTGGGTTAGTCATTCTCAAAATGTTTCTAGATGTGATAGTTAAGGAACACCTCTCCTTGGAGGGCCAGAGAGATTTACAGTGGGGTTGCCTTGCATGCGGTTGACCCAGGTTTAACTCTAGCACTCCAGGTGATCACCTGAGCCCCGCCAGGAGAGATCCCTGAGTGCAAAGCCACGAATAAACCCTGAGCCCACTGGATGTAGCCCAAAAACCAAGGGGGAAAAAAAAAGAATGCCTCTTCTTTAAAATTATTTCTTCAATAATCAGAGGACTCTACAATCATAAATAAATAGAACGTTCTTAATGCCACTCAGCCTTTTCTTTTTTCATTTTCTGTACTGAAAAATCAATATCTGGATCTTCTAAAAATTTAATCTACTTAGGCCAGGGATGTAGCTCAGCAGAAAGGCACTTGCCTTGTGTGTGTGTGTATAAACATATATATATAATATATATAATAATATATATTATTATTATATACAAATGCTGGCCGACTTTGACCGTGAGTGTGGAAAGGTAGGACTACAGCTGAATCTTACGAAGACAATGTTTATGAGAAACAGCCTCGTTCCTGACGCCCCATTCGCTCTCAACGGAACGACCATCTCCGAATGCAACAGCTATGTGTACCTAGGTCGAGAAGTCAACATGACAAATGACCTGGCACCCGAGCTGCGCAGGAGGAAGAGAGCGGCTTGGAACGCCTTTAAGAACATCGAAGAAATAGCTAAGAGGACGAAGAACCTCTGGCTCCGGGCACATCTCTTTGATTCCACTGTTCTTCCTGCATTAATATATGCCTCAGAGACCTGAGCCCTACGTAAACAGGATGAGAATGCTATTCGGGTCTCCCAATGAGGAATTGAAAGAGCTATGCTTGGAATATCACATTTCACTCAAATGAGAGAAAGAATCCTGAGTTCCGACATCCGTCGAAGATCAAGAATCAGGGACGCTGTCTCGTTTGCCAAGGTGTCGAATATCAGATGGGCTGGTCACGTAATGAGATTTAAAGACGACCGCTGGACTAGAGCTGTTACCAACTGGATTCCACAGGATGTCAAAAGACCGCATGGCCGCCCACCTACCAGATGGTCAGACTTCTTCATCAAGATCATGAACGATCGGTTTGAGGCTCTTCATGTTCCCAGAGCGAACAGATGCCATTGGGCTACACTGGCACGCGACAGGGACGAATGGAGATGTTACTGGCACCCGCTCGAGCAAATCGACGACTAATGGGAAGTTAAGTGATTAAGTGATATAATAATATATAATAATATATATATAATATATATGACAGGCCCTGAACTTAAAAGAAAATGATGTGACTATTGACCATCTTTCCCACAAGCTATACAATTCTATTCCTCCAGCCTTTTCTTAACTATCTTTTTCTCCATTCATCTGATTATTTGGGCTACATTTTAGGAAGAAAAATTTAAAAGCACTGTTGGTCAAGGATTTTAGTTACATACAGGGCCAAAGAGACAGCACAGGGGTTAAGGTGTATGCTTTGCCTGTGGCTCACCCAGGTTCAATCCCTGGCACTACTATGTTCTCCTTAACAACTCCAGAAATGATCCTTGAGCACAGAGCTAGGAGTAAGCCCTGGGTGTGGCCCAAAACCACAAGCAAAAAAACAAATAATGCTTTAAGGAAACTGCCTTATCTCTCATCTACCATTTTACAATTATTTTTGTCTATACATTTTCTGATTAAATGATAATGTACACTGAATAAAAGTTCTAATTAAGGTGCTTTCCCACTTAGCAGTTGCCCACATTAAAAAAGTTACCTTCTCAAGAGGCACTGTGTCTCACTTCACAGCAGAAATGACCAAAACCATAAGATATCATTAGCTGTGCAACAGGAATTCAAACATATTCCACCATTTTTCAAAAAAAAGCCACCAATCTTGCAAAAGGACTTGAAGTAGGGATGGGTGATCAGGCTATCGGTAGCTGGTGCCGTTCCTGAGTTTCCCTGCAGCAATCCTAGTTTTGCCTATTTCTCTTCTAGCTCTCAGTATTGTGATAGAAATTGTGAGTGTGAGTTCACTAAGCATAGAGTAATTAAGAAACTCAGTGGGGATGAGTATTTGGAGACCCACTGGAAAAGGCAGCAGAGAACCACTCTTAGACCTACAGGCAGCAGTACAGAACGAGATACAGCTGAGAACTATGTCATTAACTGCTCTAGGGTATGGGAATGCAAAAATGATCTGCCAAGCCATCATCCCCTTAACTGATCACACTGGCTAGGGCCACATTAAGGTTTCAAAGTGCTATTTCTGAATGAGCATACATTTCTATTAAAAGTGAAGAGATGAGCAAGAGTATTGGAATAAACTTGCAATGGAGTTTCATAAGACACTCGGAAAAAGAATTCATTTTGATTTATCTAAGCAGTTGGGATATGGGGAGAAGAATAGAGTTATTCAGAAGAATGAATTCTTTAATACTATATGATGCTCTCCAAAAAAAAAAGTAAAGAGAGCTTAAAATAGAATAGAGAAGAGCAGGGAAAAGCATTGGGAAAAAAAGATCAGGTGATGGGAAGCGAGAGATAGCACAGCTGGTAGGATATCTGCCTTCCACATAGCTGACCTGGGTTCAATCCCCAGCACCCCAGATGGTCCCTTAGACCCTACCAGGAGTGATCCCCGAACACAAAGCCAGTGTGTGGACCAAAAATGAAAAGTAAAAAAATAAATAAATAAAAAGGGTATGTGAGGTCCAGGGAGACAGATCAAAGGCTGGAGCACAGGCTACGCTTCTGATTTGATCCCGGGCACCTCATGCCCTCATGAGCACTGTAGGGTGTAGCCTTGGTGGAAGGAAGAAAGAAGGGAGGGAAAAATGGAGAGAGAGAGAGAGAGAAGGGTGAAAGAGAGGGAGAGGGAGGAAAAAGACTTTTTCTCATGAGGCTAGTAGTCTAGTAGTAGTCAAGAGGAATACCAGAATGTGAAATAAATTTTTTGCTATTTAAAAAAACAAACCTTTTTTCTGGGCTTGGTCTTCAAGCCCTGCTCTCCCTTAAACACATTTGTTTCTAGTTTCCCCTATCTCATCCCTCACATCTTTCTAAATAAGTCAATAAAAACCTTCTTGCATCACAGCACTGAAAACACTGTCCTCCCGTTGGTCATCGATTTGCTCCAGCGGGCCCAGTAACGTCTCCATTGTGAGGCTTGTTGTTACTGTGTTTGGTATGTTGAATACGTCACAGGGAGCTTGCCAGGCTTTGCCGTGCAGGTGAAATACTCTCGGTAGCTTGCCGCGCTCTCTGAGAGGGGCAGAGGAATTGAACTCGGCTCAGCCAGGCTGGCCGCGCACAAGGCAAACACCCTGCCGCTGTGCTATCACTCCAGCCATGCATCACAGAAAAAAAACAATTTTTTCTGGATCAAAGAAAGCTACAAATGATAGCTAGATAAAAAATAAACTGAAAAATGCCCTCCCAAAGGTATCAGGCTCTAATATCTGGAAGCTGTAAAAGACTACCTAAGAAGGTCTTTGTTTATGGGACTACATTAAGGGCTTAACATGGGGAGATTGTACTAGATCATCTGGTAAACTCTAAATATCATCGTAGTGGTCCTCATAAGAGATGCAGAAAACCATCTGAACCATACAGAGGAATAGGTGATATGAAAAAGAAAGAAAAGATTGTGGTCCTGTGGGCACGAGTAAAGAAACATCACAGCCACCAGAAGCTGAAAGGTGAGGAAGCGACTCTCCCCTAAGCCTCCAGGGGGCGCCGGGCCCTCATGGCACCGTCATCTCAGTTCAGCGTTAAGGATTTCAGACTTCAGGCCTTCAAGGTTAGACAAGAAATTTCTGTTGCTTTAAAGCCACCAAGTTTATGGTAATCTGTTGCAACACCCTCAGGAAACTCTTATAATGGACTTTGTCAGACAGATTTAATTAGACAGTTCAAGGGCCTAGAGTGCATGCAGGAGGCCAGGGTTCAATTCTTGGCACCACATATGATCCCCAGAGTGCTGCCAGGAGAATGAGACAGAAGTAACTCCTGGGACACTTTCTGGTACAGTCCCAAAACACAAAATCACTGTATTACTGCCATCCCATTGTTCAGCGCCAGTAATGTCTCTATTTGTTCCAGCCTTGAAATTTTATCAGCCTCTCCTTACTCGTCTTTCCCAATGACTGGAGGCTCTTTCAGGGTTAGAAGGAGACCTGCTATAGTTACTGGTTTTGGCATATCGAATACACCATGGGGAGCTTGCCAGGCTCTGCCCGTGCAGGCGGGATACTCTCGGTAGCTTGCCGGGCTCTCCGAGAGGCATATATATATATGTTTATATATATATATGTATATATATGTATATATATATATATATTTCTATGATTTGTTGGCTACTGTCTGAACTCCATCAAACATAATGTGGTAATTATGGAAAATGGGTAGGAAGTGTCTTATGAGTGGCCGCGCGGTCTGGAAACTTATTTAAAACACAAAATAAGTGAATAAAAGTATATTTGCTTTCCTTAGAAAAAATGTCATCGTTTAGTTTCACATTCAATGAGAACATAGTATCTTAAAAGTTTATCATGTTATTCCTACCCATCAAGTATAAGTTCTCAGGAGTGGTCACAGGGATATTAACAAGTTTAATATCATCTTCATCTGCTTTGTCCCAGGAATTAGAATTGCCGCACACACAGCTATGACAAGAATTGACACTCTGGACCTAAAATTAATATTGACAGAAGTTATTTCAAAATATCTTTTATGATAGTATTTTATGAACTTTTATGATTATAAATTATTCAAACAAAACCTATTGCTGGGGCTGGAGCAAGAGCACAGCGGGTAGGGCCTTTGCTTTGCACGCGGCCAACCCAGATTTGATTCCCAGCATCCTGTATGGTCCTCCCCCAAGCACAGCCAGGAGTAATTCCTGAGTGCAAACTAGGAGTAACCCCTGAGCATCGCCAGTGTGACCCATAAAGCAAAAAAAGAAAAACAAAACAAAACAAAAAACTATTACTGGTGCAACAGTCCATGTAATTTCTACATGAAGTATTGTTTCTAGGGAATGGAGCTCAGCAGTAAAGCACTTGCCCTGTATATGTAAGGCCCTGCTTTGATTTCCTGCCCCATAAACAATAATAATAACAATAAAACTCTACAAGAAAGAACTAATCGAGGCCAGAATGATAGTATAGCAAGTAAGGTGCTTGCCTTACAAGCCTACCTGGGTTCAATCCCTGGCACCCTATATGGTACCTCCAAGTCCACCATGAGTGATCCCTGAGTGCAGAGCCAGGAATAAACTCTGAGCAGCATTGGCATAGCCCAAAAAACATACACACACACACACACACGCACACACACCCACACACACAAAAAAAAGGAAGGTAGGAAAGAAGGAAAGAAGGGAGGGAGGAAGGGAGGGAGGGATGAAGAGAAAATTGGTTTCTTTCAATCAAATACAGGAGTCATAAGACTAAGTATTTTGAGCCCTTGTGTGCTCAAAAATGCATAAATAAAACAATATTTTAGGGGCCGGAGCAATAGCACAGAGGGTACGGTGTCTGCCTTGCATGCAGCTGACCAAGATTCGATCCCCCGCATCCCATATGGGCCCCCAGCACTGCCAGGAGTAATTCCTGAGTGAAGAGCCAGGAGTATCTCCTGAGCATTGCTGGGTGTGACCCAAAAAGCTAAAGTAATAAAGTAAGTAAAGGCCCTCCCGTTGATCATCGATTTGCTCAAGCGGGCCCAGTAACGTCTCCATTGGAGACTTTGTTGTTACTGTGTTTGGCATATCGAATACGTCACGGGGAGCTTGCCAGGCTCTGCCGTGCGGGCGAGATACTCTCGGTAGCTTGCCGGGCTCTCCGAGAGGGGCGGAGGAATCGAACTCGGGTCGGCCATGTTGGCTGCGTGCAAGGCAAACGCCCTACCGCTGGCTATCGCTCCAGCCCTTACTTATTTTAAACATAATCAGTTCTACCAACGTTCAGGTAAGTTTACATTTTTACTTAAAAAATTTCAATTGTACCTACTTATCATTAGGTAACTAGCTTAGTTTTCTTTGCGAATATATTATGATGCTGATCTGCTAAAGGATAATTAAAGGTGAGACGCCTCTATCATCTCCCCCTCCCAGCAAGGCCTAATGAGCTGTGGCGACTCTACCACCAATTCCAGTTCCATTCTGTTGGATGAACTGAGACCCAGAGCTTCATCTGCCTATCAGTTGACTTCCACCTTGCTGGTCTGCTAATCTGTTGCCCATTTATCTCAAATAAAGGAGCACTTCATTTTCCCACTATAAAAACTCTTCCCACCCAAAAGGAGAGAGAGAACAAAAGGGAATGCCCTGCCACAGAGGCAGGGTGGAATGGGGGGGATGGGGGTAGGAGGGATACTGGGATCCATGGTGGTGGAAAATGGGCACTGGTGGAGGGATGGGTATTTATCATTGTATAATCGAAACCCAAGCACAAAAATTTGTAAATCTACAACTGTACCTCATGGTGTTTCACTAATAAAAATTAAAAAAAAAAAAACAAAAAAACTTCCCTCTCCCAACTTCCCCAACAGTGCTTCTATCCTCATAATGACTCAAACTAGAACATCAGAAGTCTTCCGTAACTCCTCTTTCTACAGCACTCACACCTAGAACCAAGTGTTGTGGGACCTGTCACCTCCCTCCATGTCCTACTATCCTGACTCTCTCTGAGAGACTCACTGAAAGACACGAAATCTGAGGGCTAGAAATAGAACTCGGTGGCAGAGCACACACTTTGTATTAAGAGCACCTACTTCCACCGAAAGGGGAAAAAATCTGGTAGATTCACAGCAAGGGCAGGTCAACTGACACAGGTACATTGAAGTAATTTTAAAGATTTGGCCCTCACTGTCACTGTCACTGTCCTCCCGTTATTCATCGATTGGCCCTCACACTTTCATGAAATTCCTTTCTCTGTTTATTGAGAAGAACAGTTTCTGACCCAGGGATCACAGGCTAAGTTCCTCAGCATCAAGTGTACCCCCAAGCTCAGAGGAACTGTAGGCATTTGAGAAAGGAGCAGTTATATGCCACTGAAATATAAAAGGAATATATTTAATAATATAAAATGAAATATGGTGGGGTTTTTTTTTTTTGGGTTTTTTTGTTGTTGTTGCTGGTTTTGTTTTGTTTTTTTTTTTTTTTTGCTTTTTGGGTCATACCTGGTGATGCACAAGGGCTACTCCTGGCTCATGCACTCAGGAATTACTCTTGGGGGTGCTCAGGGGATGCTGGGAATCAAACCCGGGTCAGCCGCAAGCAAGACAAACACCCTACCTGCTGTGCTATAGTTCCAGTCTTGGAATATGGTGTTTTACAAACTATTTCTTAACGTACAATTATGATGACTAAGGCACATATTCTCCAGAATGATATATAAGAAACTGTCCATGCTCACCAGAGGCACATGGACCTAATCCAGAGCCCAGCAGTTTGCAGAAGAAATGTGAATGGACTGTGTGTTAAACTCTCGTGCCATGGACCCTGCCCTCCCCCCCCTCCCCCGAGGGAAAGAGTGTCTGTCTCTTCCGCCTCCTCCCCCCATAGCACGGTGGCTGCCACCTCAGAGCTTATTGAAAAGCCAGGTATGAGCCGGCAATTGCAGCCTCATGGGAAGGGGGGCAGAACCGGTTTATCCTTCACGCCCAACCAAGGCCATGAGTTGCCCCCCATGTGCAGCTCTCCCACAGGGCTATGACACCAGACGCACAGAAACCAATCTGGTAATTATCTGGCTCTGGACAGAAATCCCTCCAGACTTAATTAGTAAAATATTAGAAATCAAAAATCGCGGCCACACAACATCATATGGTTTTCATAACCAGCAATAGAAAACAAATTATTTCACAATGCCTTTTCAGCAGTTCTGATTGTTGGGGGGGGGAGGGGAATTCCAAGCAATAATGGTGTATCTTTTGTCAAAATAATGAATGTATTCAAAGTAGAGAGAGAGTTAAGTAGAAATCATCTGCCTCACAGGCATTGGGAAGGGTAGGAAGGGGTATATAGGAGTCGTTGGTGGTGAAAAATAATTACTGGTGAGGAGAGGGGTATTTTATAACTGCATGACTGAGACTTAAACCTGAAAGCTTTGTAACTTTTCTCACGGTGATTCAATAAATAAAATAATAAATAAATAAATAAAAATTTTTTTTAAAAAAGTGCATGCTGTTTGTCCCTAAGGAGAACTGAGAGGATAGAGAACAATTCCTTTGACTCATTTTTGCCTCTTCTTTATTTAGTAGCGCATATATCTTATGAATTCTTAAAAATAATTTTTTTACATTCCTATATTCAAACCAAGTTTAACTTCATTCCTCACTTCAGTGAATACTATAGTTAGGGCCAGAGAGATGCTTCTCTTGCATGTGACCTGGGTTCAGTCCCAGCTCCGTATACAGCCCCTGGAATCCTGTCAGGAGTGATCCCTGAGCACAGAGGAGCCAAGAGTAAGTCCTGAGCACTGCCAGGCGTGGTGGTCCAAAAACCAAACAAATAATGTAATGTGCCAAAGGAGGTAAGAAACTCCATACTTGGATTCACCAAATCTAGTCTTTCAACCTTACCAGCTCATCAAGCTAATCAAGCTACAAATGATTTTTTGATGAGCTACATACAAAGTCTGGCTACATAGTACAGCTTTTTTTTTTTTTTTTAAATCATTCAGTGCTTCACTAGGTGGTAGTCAGAAACCCTGAAGTCTCTGGGATCAGACTCAGGGTCGCACACCAATGCATGTACTCTACCGCTTGGACAACATACCAGGTACCTTCCAGATTTTGTGTGTTTGTTTTTTTGAGTGATACCCAGAAGTACTCAGGAATTACTCCTGGTGAGGTGCTTGGGGGGAATAAGGGATACTGGGGATTGAACCTGGATCAGCCACATGCAAGGCAAGTACCTTACCCACTGTACTATCACTCCGGCTAACTCCTTCCAGATTTCTTTGCAGAACAGTCTTGACATAATACTTCCACATCAACATTATTCTCAAAGAACCCCCATAAGACTACATCTCATACTCCAAGAAACCTAGAATACAACTGGTTGAATAGTTAGCAAAAGTTTACTTTTACTTACCTAATAAATAAATAAATAAATAAATAAATAAATGGCAGATTTAACAGATGATTATTTCCTTACTAGGATTTATCTGTAATAGTCTAATAGTTAAGTCAACAGGTAAAAATAAAAAAAAACATAAAAAAGGGGGGGAGGGCTGGAGGGTACAGAGAGATAGTATAGCAGGTAGGGTGCTTGCCTTGCAAGCAGACAATCCAGGTTCAATCCCCAGCATCCAATATGGTCCCCTGAATTTGCTAAGTGATTCCTGAGTGCAGAGCCAGGAGTAACTCCTGAGCACTTTCCAAAATCAAAACAAAACAAAACAAAAAAATAGAAAACAGGGGCTGGAGCGATAGCTCAAAGGGATGAGTGAATTCTTTACATACAGGAGGTCTGGATACAATCTCTAACACTGAGCACTGTTGCGAGTGATCCCTGAAGAGAGCCAACATGGGGTGCATTGCGGCCAGCAGGTCAACCAGTACCCACGAGGCAAGTTCATCAGCAGCCTGATGGTATCCTTGGGCTTCCCCATACCCCAAAACTGCTGTTGTGCCTTTGACCAGACCACAAAATCTCGGGCCCAAGTTTTCTGAGAAATTAAATGGCCAAAAGTTAGATATGTGGTAGCAACACCCCAAACCACCTCTGGCTCAGTTATATAAGCTCAATTATTGGCCTTGCTTCAGAGACCCATAAATAAATCTTGAAAAAGATCAAAAGTTAATCTCAGACCCATGCAAGGCTGAGCAGATGGGGGCAAATCGGGGGGGGGGGGGGGGCAGAGCCTGGTGCCTGCCCAAGCAGCTGCTTGCTCCCACAATCCAAAATTGCTACCATGCCCCTGGCTGGACTCTACCACCTCAGGACGTACCTCACTGAGATATTAACCTGTTGAAAATTCAGGTATGCGGGTTTTGTGACTAAAATCTCCAGGCTTTCCAGAGTTGGGAGGGGCTAACTCCCCCCACTTTCCTAAATTCCTGGAAGTGCTGGCAGTTATCCCGACAAACCAACTTCAGAGCCACTGTGTAAGCTCTACTACTGGCCTTGCTCCAGAGACCCCTAAATAAATCTCAAAAGAGATCAAAAGCCGCAGTTAGTCTCAGACATGCACAAGGCAGAACAGATTCAGGTAAACAGAAGGGGCGAGGTCAGCTTGCCCTCCCAAGCAGAATCCCCAGCCAGCCACTTGCTTCTACAATCCAAAACCACAGCCATGACCCCAGTCAAACTCCACCATCTGGGGATGGACCACACCAAGTTATAATCTGCTAAAAACTCAAGTAGGTGGGTTTTATGACTGAAATCTCCAGGCCTTCTCAGAGTTGAGATGGGCCTCCTGCCAACTCCCTATACTCCTAGAAGCACAAGCAGTCATGTCCACATCCCAAGCCACCACCCATTTAAAAAAGTTACTCCAGCCTTACCTTCCCAATAAAAATACTGAATGCCCTGACCTCTTAGTACCTGTATTGCAAACCATAATGCACAAAAGGAGAGAGAGAAAGAAGAAAAGTGCCTTAGGTAAAGGCAGCAGGGGTGGGGGATGCGGGTATGGGGGGCGGGGGGGGGGAGGTTTGGGGATGGTGGGAGGGAAATGGGGGACACAGGTGGTGAGAAATGTTCACTAGTGGAGGGATGGGTGCTGGATCATTGTATGACTAAAACCCAATCATGAACAGCTTTGTAATGGTCTAACTCACTGAAATTCAATTTAAAAAAATTTTTTTTAAAAAAAGAACAGAGTTAAAGGTAGATTCCAAGTACCTACAGGTGTGGCCCAAGTCCCTCCCCCCACTTCCCAAAATCAAAGAATCACTTTTAAATTTTACTTACAGAAGCCAAACTCTGTGCAGAACCCGAGTATTTACTGAAAAGACCTCCATTAGTATAGTTACAAGACTGAGATCCTTTGTCTTTGGTGGAACTTAAAGATAACGTCAAATTCTGTCTACTACTGGAACAGCTTGAACCTAGGAAGCAAATGGTGAGTGTTAGTAACTCCAGTGGTACATTTCAAGTAAAATTCTAAAATCTGGAGGCCTAGAAAGTGGCTCAATGTGTGAGAGCCTGCCCTGCAGAAGAGAGCTCTCGACTTCAATCCTTGGCAACACCCCACTTTGCCCAGTATGACACCAGCAGTGCTGAAGTCTAGCAACAGAACAAGTGCAAGTTCTGTATGATGCAAGGAAGTGTGTGAGGCCTCAGGACTCAGCAAGCAAGTATGCGAGCTCCACAAGGGAGTAAGTAGCCCTGACAACAACATAGGGAAGGGAAGGGAAAGTTCTTTCAAATTTTGATTATAGTCATTCAGTAAGCTTATTTTAAAACCTATTGCTCTCAATTATAAAAGTTACTACATGCACACAATTAGAACCTACATCATTAAGTAACTTTAACACTGTTAATACTTCCTCTGTAATGAAGACGGAAACATTCGTCTAATTAACCAGGGTGGTATTTGGTCTGTTGTAATCATCTGTAATTACAGGTATAATAAACAGTTATCTATTGTAATTATCAACTAGAGAACTTTTTAAGCTAAAAAATTTAATGAAATATAAGCACATATTTCACATCTAAAGTCTAAATTATATCTCATCAAATATGTGGTCATCTTTTATATATATATATATATATATATATATATATATATACTTCTGTCTTCTCTAAGCATCATTCATTATCTAGAGCAGACATGACAGGTTAATTTAATGCAGCAGTTAAGGTACGATTGAATTCAAATCTTAGCATAATTTAGTTAAATTAAAGGTTTATAAGTTTCTCTGGTCTACCAACCCTCTATCAAAAAAAAGGTTGCTCAGCATCCACTTTAACTCTACCTTCACTAAGCAAACAAATAAGCAAACAAACTGTCCCCCAGTTGCAGTTGCACCTGAGGCCTCTATGGCACCAACCCCCGATCATTCCAATAGCCCCTGGTGAAGGTGACGCACTCTCTTCCTCTTTGGGAAACACTGATGGACTTGAGCAAGTAATGTAACTTTTCGATCTCTCAAATTTATGTACAAACAGGAATCAAAACAGCATTATATGGTCCCAGTGTTACTACTAACAGTAATCAGTGCAATGACTATAAAACATTTAGCATTGTACCTGAAATCAAATAAAATCTCAGCTACTACCATCATTACTACTGCAATATTCACTGTACTTGGCACAAAATTCATTAACTGCAAACTAGATCACAAAAGAATAATATGCTAAATAATAAGCTTGAAAGTAATAAAACCTCATAAAGTATACAATCTACCGTGCTCAAGAAATTACTTTTAGTTGCAAATTTAGCGATATGTACCATATCTTCGACAAACACAGATTCTTTAAGGCTCAGCAAATTGACTTCTAAAAAACCAGGAAATTATTAGACTATATATTCAAAGATATATGCAAAACAAGAAAAATACCCCGAAGGGAACAACAGGGAGCTGGTTAAAAAAATTAGGGCAGATTTGTATGATTTTAACCATATACATATTAAAAATGATAGCACAGAGACATATTCATTGACTGGGAAAAAAAACATACTTCTATATTGTTAAATATTTTTAAAGCAGATTTAAAAACTCTTAATTTTAAAATGTATAATTCACATGTATAAATAAAGGTGCGGTCAACATGGCCGACCCGAGTTCGATTCCTCCACCCCTCTCGGAGAGCCCAGCAAGCTACCGAGAGTATTCGATATGCCAGACACAGTAACAACAAAGTCTCCAATGGAGACGTTACTGGGCCCGCTCGAGCAAATCGACGATCAACGGGAGGGCCTTTACCTTTACCTTTACCTTACATGTATAAATATGAACTTTTATATTTCAATATGAAAATTGAAAAAATCTAAACAAAAAAAAGTGACAGATACATATGCCAAAGCGTGTCAACAATTAGTTCTGGGTAGCAGAAGTTGAAGTGGCTTAAAAAGAAGTGGCTTGGGCTGGAGCAATAGCACAGCAGGTAGGGTGTTTGCCTTGCACGCGGCAGACCCGGGTTCAATTCCCAGCATCCCATATGGTCCCCTGAGCACCGCCAGGGGAAATTCCTGAGCGCAGAGCCAGGAGTAACCCCTGTGCATCGCCAGGTGTGACCCAAAAAGAAAAAAAAATGGCTTTCTTTGCTCTGAAATTTTGGAAATCAAAACATTAAAATTAGGGGGCAAGGATTCAATTTCTGGCACATACCACACACACACACACACACACACACACTGAATTTCGATCCATTGAAATGACTGTATTTTTCAGTTAATTATTCACGTATAAAATCTCCTTTGAAAACTTACTTCAGCCATTTCCACATACCTTTGTCTGAAGCTGCTCTTTTAGTACATTCAAGTATGAGGTGCTCTGGTTCCCATGGCAATATTTTTCCTTTCTTCTTTCCACGTCTTCTTTTGAAGTGATGGGCCAGAAAAATTACAGACACGGCACTCACTGCAGTTACCACAAACAATTTCTTAGCTACTGGTGAGAATTTGATCTGGAAAAGATGCAGTTAGATTGAAAAAAAAATTATTTTACTTGCTCACGTAAAGCTGTAAAAACTAAATTTACTTATTTTGTTCTGTTTTGTTTTGTTTTTGTCCACAGTGCTGAATAGTGAGTGCTCAAGCAACCTCGAAGCCAAGCCTCCTCATCAACCACATGATCCTCTGAGCACCACCAGATATGGCTTCAAAACGAAATAAAAAATAACAAAGTGAAGCTCAAATGCCACTCCTGATTCTCAGCAGGTTTACCAGACAGCTGAACTGAAGGACTCACAGTGTCAGGAAACACTGGGGTCATACCCACAGGGGCAGGGGTCTTCTGGGCTACTAAATTTATGTAACTAAACCTATATCACAGCAACTTTTTTAAAAATTTTTATTAGTGAAACACCATGAGGTACAGTTGTAGATTTACAAATTTTTGTGCTTGGGTTTCGATTATACAATGATCAAATACCCATCCCTCCACCAGTGTCCATTCTCCACCACCATGGATCTCAGTATCCCTCCCACCCCCATCCCCCCCCCATCCCACCCTGCCTCTGTGGCAGGGCATTCCCCTCTGTTCTCTCTCTCCTTTTGGATGTTGTGGTCCACAGCAATATTTTTAACTACCAGAGTTATTAGAGTAGATCCTTGAAAACATAAAACGTAAACCATACTCATGTTATCTGGATACCTGGGCAAACATAAATTAATTTGATTTCTAAATGCCATCTAAATGAGTACTTTTATTTGTGAACTATTCAGCCAATATGTATTTGGCATTTTCACAATGTACAAGATTATGTTATAAAAATTGAAATTAAAATCTTGATTTAAGGGGTCACAGAGATAATACAGATGGTAAGAGTTCAATCCTCAGCATCCCATATGGTCCCCCCTCCCAGGTACGCCAGGATTAATTACTAAATGCAGAGACAGGAGTAACCCCTGAGTACTGCTGGTGTGGCCACAAAATAAACAAAAAAAAACCCCATAAAATCTTGACGTAATTATTCAACAAGCAAATACTGAATGTCTTCTTTTGTTCAAAATGCACTGAGTAATATAAAGAACAAAGGTCTAGTGTCCTTGGAGCAGCATGCTGAGCCGTAATAGACATATATTCATATATAATTACATTATAGTGCAATAAATACAATAATGCAATTGTTACTCAACTCTAACATCAGAGCAAAGGAGAATTAACTTTGTGTTTGGAGACAAATACTATTAATCACTCAAAAATGCAAAAGAACTCTAAAGTTATACGTTTGGATCTATAGAGAACATTTATTTACTTTAGAAAATAATCATTTTATACCCCAAATTGTTCACAGCAGCTTATCAGCAGCTATAAGGCAAGGTTCTGAGGCAACAACAACAAGAAAAGATTATATTTACTGAAGCCTGAAAAATAGTGCAGTGAAACGGACGTTAGCCTTGACAAACTAGGTTCAATCCCCCGGATCTCTCAAGTAATTTCTATAGTTAGGAATATCCCCCAAGCACTGCTGGATATGGCTTCTCTCTCCCCTCACCCACCAAAAAGATTACATTTACTAAGAACCCAGATGATGAGTAATGTTTTCTAGCAATACATTTTTTTTAAAATAAAATCTCCTTGCCTCGCCCCTCCAACCCCCATTAAAAAATAACACCTGGAATCATCAATCTATACCACAGAATACTATAATAAAAAGAAACAAAAGAAACACATTTAAATTACTAAGCCTCTCTTTACTAATTTTGCAACTTCCTGTAACTCACTTCTTAAGATAACGTTTAGGGACAATAGTACAGAGGGCAGGACGCTTCCTGGCATGTGTCCCAGCCCTGATTCAGTCCTGAACACTGCCAAGAGTGATCCCTGAGCATGGAGCCAGGAGGAAATCCTAAGCACTGCTGGGTGTGGCCCCAAAACAACACACACACACACACACACACACACACACACACACACACCTTTAAATATATAATGAATAAAGAATATATACAACAAATATATGCACAATTTTATAAATATCTGGAGAAATTTTTTAAAAACTGATCATGCTTAACAGTATAAGCACTCTGGAAAAAGGTTTGAATTTAAAAATTAATTTTTTCGGGGGCTGGAGTGATAGCACAGCAGGAATGGCGTTTGCCTTGCTCGCAGCCGATCCGGCTTCGATTCCCAGCATCCCATATGGTCCCCTGAGCACCGCCAGGAGTAATTCCTGAGTGCATGAGCCAGGAATAACCCCTGTGCATCGCCGGGTGTGACCCAAAAAGCAAAAAATATAAAATTTAAAAAAAATTAATTTTTTTAACTTTATTAGTCACTCTACTCGTACGTATTACCCAAACAAGAACTTATATCCATAAATAAACCGTTTCTTACTTATATTTGAAAAAAATAGGAAACACTAAATGCCCATCAACATGTGAATAAATGTAAAATTGGGCTCAAAAGATAATGTAGAAGGGGTTAAGGTGCTCAACCAACCGTGACTTGATCCTCTGCTCTGCCAGAAATGAACCGAGTAGGAGTGATCCCCAAACCACCCCCACCCCTACAAAAAAGAACTGTGACTTAACCATGCAATGAAACAATAGTAATTAAAGAGTACTAACTACTGACTACCAACTGGCCCCCTGGCACCGTGTAATCCCATCAACGGTCAAGACTCAGAGTCTATAAAACCCAGCTCCCGGAAGAGAACAGCGCAGTCTCCTGCCCCCGCACCTGGCTGTCCTCACAAGGGCCCCTTGGAGGGGAGCGGGTTGAGTTTTCCTCCCCGCCCTGACCAGGGCTCCAGCAGCCGAAGACCTCCAGAACCAGCCACCACCATGCTGAGACCACTCTCCACACATATGAAGGTACTGGCAGAGGAACAAAGGCATGCGGGTCCCGGGGCTGAGATCTCCAAGCCTGCTCGGATCAGGGCTGAGCATCCTCCACCCAGATCCTCCGAATTCCAGTAGGCAGGGGTCACACCTACCAATTGGCCCCCTAGCGCCGGTGTAATCCCATCAACGGCCAAGACTCAGAGACTATAAAACCCAGCTCCTGGAACCGTGCAGCCACATTTGTGGCCACGCGACAACGTTTTATGACATCTTATTATCTCATTCCTACTTTGGACAAACTGGCAGGCTACCAAATGTAACCTTCCCACATGGCAGAGTCTGGCAAACTCCCCATGGCATACCCAATATGCCAGATGCCAGTAACAATGATGGGTCTCATTCTCCTAAAGAGCCTTGAATATGGCACTTTCTTAAAAATTTCAAGGCTATGATGAAGGAGATGTTACTGGGGCCTGCTCGAGGCAATCGACGAATAACAGGATGGTCGTGATTCATGAACTACTGATACCTATACCAACATGTATATATTTTCAGAATTATTGGACAGAGTAAAAAGAGCCAGACAAAAGAAAACACATACAAACATACACCATAGGGCTGAAGCAATAGCACAGCAGGTAGGGTGTTTGCCTTGCACGTGGCCGACCCGGATTTGATTCCCAGCATCCCATACGGTCCCCTGAGCACTGCCAGGAGTAATTCCTTAGTGCAGAGCCAGGAGTAACCCCTGAGCATCGTCGGGTTTGACCGAAAAAGCAAAACAAACAAACAAACAAACAAAAATACACTATATGATTCTACTTACTTAAAAGTCTAGAAAACACAATCAAAAAAGTCTCAAAAGCAGATGAGTTGTGATGTGGGTCAAAACGGGAGAGAGAAGCTAGACTGGAAAATGCGATACTGAAACTTTTAGAGATCAGTCACAAAAAGTCATACTATATAATCTCACTTCTGAAGTTTTCAGGGTAAATAATCCATCAAGAAAAAATAGAAAGGTGGTTGCCAAGGGTTGCCGGAAGTGAGTACAAAGAGTATCTGTTTAAGGGCTGTAGTTTCGTTTTTTCAAGATAAAGAGCTCTGAGGTAGGTTGTACAGCAATGTGAATAAATTTAATGCCATGAAACTATACATTTAAAGTGACAAACTGGTCAAGTTTATGACACCTATGTAAGTCCCCTAACAGTGAGGACAGGTCCATAAGAATAATATAATTCACTGAAATCTCTTTTATAATCAACTCTGTAAATTCACTTAAGGTTGTGTTTTTTTTTCTTTTCTTCCTTAAGTTGTACAATATCCTTTAAGAGTTGAGAATATGAACTTTAGGTGCTGGAGCGATAGCACATCGGGTGGGGCGTTTGCCTTGCACATGGCCAACCTGGGTTTGATTCCCAGCACCCCATATGGTCCTCTGGGCACCACCAAGAGTAATTCCTGAGTGCATGAGCCAGGAGTAAACCCTGTGCAATGCCGGGTGTGACCCAAAAAGAAAAAAAAAAAGAATATGAACTTAAGGAGTGCAATGCATGCTTTGCATGCTTAAGACCCTGGTACTACCTGCCCCCACTGTTCAGCACCTGATATAACCCATGGGGAAGCCAAGGGGTGGGAGGAGGAGAATACGTGTGTGTGTATATATGTACACACATATTTATATACATATACATATATATACCATATATACACACATAAAATTTTTTTCTAATCTCCATAAATAAAATCCAAAGAAGGGTTTTACTTTTTGCTGCTGTTATTTGTTTTTGTTTTGGTGCTGTTTTGGGGTCACACGTGGCAATGCTCAGTGGTTACTCCTGGCTCTGTACTCAGGAACCACTCCTGGTGGTGCTCAGGCGACCGTATAGGATGCTAGAGATTGAACCCAAGTCAGCCATACACAAGGCAAGCGCCTAACCAGCTGTACCTAAATTCCTGCGCTAAAAACCAAGAAAGTTTTTGTTCATTTGTTTTTAATTTTTTTATATTGGATCACTGTGAGACAGACCCTTCATTATTAGGTTTCAGTGTTCCAACACCCATCCCTCCACCAGTGTACATTTTCTGACTGAAGCACTTAAAAACTCAAAACTGAGGAACCAGAGAACTATTACAGGGTAGTTAAGGCACTCGCCTTACATACGCTAAATCCTGGTCTGATCCCCAGGACAACATATAGTCATTCACGCCAGCACCATCAGAGTGAGTCTTAAGTTCAGAACCAGGAGTAAGCCCTGACCACTGCCAACTGCAACCCAAAAACAAAACCAAAAAAACCTTTTTTTAATTTTAAAAAGCCTCCAGTGAAATTTATATACTGTAAGCAAAATATGTTCTTTCGATAATTTCTTATTTGGTGTTTGTTTTGTTTACCTGGGAGAGAGAGTAGTACCATGACAGAGGAAGATCAAACACTCTGAGTACTGCAATCTTCAAGGGAAACTGTGATTCCCTTGCTGTTTCTTCTGACATGACTCCACTTCTAATCTTCAATACATGAAATAGTAAAAATTGATTAGTCACAAAGCTTTCTACTCTACCAGTAGAAAGAAAAAAATCATAATTTAATTCTTTTTCTTTTTGTTATTTACTTACATCATTACACTTACCTGAAAAAAAAAAATTCTGGGCCAAATTTACTTGAGCCAAAAGTTCACCAAAGCAAGAAACAAGAAAATAGGTTTGATTTGCACCTTGAGTTTCAGGTAGTAAAATTTCCTTAGGGAATTGAAAGTGTTAGAATCTCCTTTTGAATTAAATAAACATTTCAGCTTTTTGATTATAATTAAAAAATCTACTTGTGGGGCTGGAGCGAAAGCACAGGTAGGGCGTTTGCCTTGCATGTGGTCGACGCGGGTTCAATTCCCAGCATCCCATATGGTCCCCCGAGTACCACCAGGAGTAACTCCTGAGTGCATGAGCCAAATGAGCCAGGAGTAACCCTTGTGCATTGCTGGGTGTGACCCAAAAAGCAATAAGTAAATAATCTACTTGTCCTTAATCATTTCCTAAGGAGTAGGGTAGGAATTAGCGCAAAAAGAAATCTAGTTGGAACAACAGATTCCTGGACCTAGAAAGCAAACTTCCCAATTCACTGAACTTCCAAACCTGAGCAATTATTTGCTAGCTGTCCCATTTTAAAGATCTTCAAAGAAATGCCACATTACGCGATAAAATTTTGATATCTTTTTCTAATGAAACCAAAACTACGCTGGGTCAGACAGAAGTCAGCTATTTACAGAAAAGGCAGTTACTATACCCAAGAATAGCTGAGATCAGCACCAGGAGGATTACTCCATAACTTAGAGGCCAGCCGGGTATCCTAGAGGAAAGGGCAGTTCAGATAGAGAAGGGAGCACCAAATAAAGGATGTTTGGAGGATCCTCCCAGGAGGGGAGATGCATGTCGAAAGTAGACTATGGACTGAACATGTTTGCCACTCAATGCCTCTTTTGCAGACCACAACACCCAAAAGGAGAGAGAGAACACAGGGGATTGCCCTGCCACAGAGACAGGGGGGATGGGGGGATGGGGGTGGGAGGGATATTATCCATGGTGGTGGAAAATGGGCATTGGTGGAGGGATGGGTATCTGATCATTGTATAATTGAAACCAAAGCACAAAAAATTGTAAATCTACAACTTTAAAAAAAATAAAATAAAATAAAGGGAAAAAAAAAAGGCAGTTACTAGTCAGCAGGGCCTTTAAGGATAGCAAAACTGAAAGAAACAGGATGGTTCACGATCTGAACTTTGAAAAAAAAAAACTGGAGAAACTCAGTTTAGTCAATATATCCAAATGGACTATTGTCTAGTTCTCACTCTTGGAGAACCCGGCAGGCTACTGAGTGTATCCTGCCCAAACGGCAGAGTCTGGCAAGCTCCCCATGGTGTATTCGATGTGCCAAAACCCAGTAACAATGATGGGGCTCATTCCCCTGACCCTGAAAGAGCCTCGAATGTGGCACTTGCTAAAATCTCAGGGCTAGGACAAATGAAGATGTGATTGGTACCTGCTCGAGGAAATTGATGAACAATGGGATGACAGTGATACAGTGATACAGTGATCCAAATGGACATACATTTAGCAAAGTCACATAGTCTTGTTGCATTAAATATTAGTTTATAATAAGGAAATACACTAGTGAAAGAATATTGATATGATATTAAAATATATCCCCTATGAAATAAAAGACTGCAGGAAAAAAAATAAAATAAAAGACTGCAGGGAGGTGATAAATAAACTAAGGTTGCCTGGTAAGCATAAAATTAATGGGCTCTTGCATGCCAGGGGAAGTGGTTCAGGGGTACAGCACCTGCTTAACACATATGACGCTCTGGGTTTGAGTCCCAGCACTGTCAACAGGAAAAAGCAGGGGCCAGAGAGATAGTACAGTGGATAAGGCACTTGGCTTGTATGTGGCCAATCTGGGTTCAATCCCTAGCATGCCATATAGTCCCCAGAGTACTGCCAGGAGTGATCCCTGAGTGTAGAGCCAGTTACCTGAGCATGGACAGTTATGAGAAAGAAAGAGAGAAAGAAAGAGAGGGAGAAAGAGAAGGAAGGAGGGAGGGGGGAGGGAGGGACAGAAAGCTAGCTCAAAGGACTGAGAATGTTTTGCATGCATGAGCCCCAGGTTTATTTATTTTATTTTTTAATGTTTTTTTCTTTTTGGATCACACTTGGCAATGCACAGGGGTTACTCGTGATTTTGCACTCAGGAATTACTCCTGGTGGTGCTTGGGGGACCATATGGGATGCTGGGAATTGAATCGTGCAAGGCAAACACCCTACCCGTAGAACTATCGCTCCAGCCCCGAACCCCTGGCACCAAATGATCCTCTAAGATCTGCTGAGAGCCACTAGCTCTAAGCTGGGTGCATTTCCCCAGCAGAGCCTAGTGAAACCCTAAAACATTCATCTGCATTTATCTCTGCTATATGTGGATCCCAGGAAACTCTAAATACCCCTCATTTTATTCACACAAGTATCAAAACTACTGATTAAGTTGCAGTTTCCTTTCAGAGTAAAGAATAATACTGCAGGGTCCTCAAAGAATGTCCTTTCTGTAGTTAAAAAAAAATCTAGTCAAAAGGATGTTATTCAAGAATCTGTTTATTTATACTGTACATCATTTTTCCAAAAATCACAGTTTCCAAGACACTGTCAAGGGCATTCAGAAAGAACAGTCTAATGGTGGCTTACTGCTGACACTGTGCCCAACTTTCTTACACTCCCAGAGTATAAACGTAATCACCCTCACCCATGCTCTAATTACAACTTTTAGGATTCAGTGTAACTAGTTCTAATTGAAGTGCATTCATTTCAATTAACTACAATACAAATCATATTTAGAAATGCAAAGGAAACCAAGAAATATTTAAGTAAAAAATGCTTCTCTGGGGAATGACTAACAGCCCAGGGTGACAGGGCAGGGAACCACTGCTTTTCATTATAAGGCCTTCTGACTATTTGATGTCCTGTTTGTTTTTGTTTTCTGGGTCACGCTCAGCAATGTGAGAGGCTACTCCCAGCTCAACACTTAGGGGCTACTAAAGTGGTGCTGAAGATAACCATGCTTTGCCAGATAGGCGGCCTGGGCATCTCATATCCATTCCATTCCTTTGATTTCTTTCCATTCATATTTACTTGATTTTGAAATGCCTATATATTTGCCTTATATTTTAAATGTTAGACTAAAATGAAACAAAACAAAGCAAAAAAATTGGGCCAGGGTGATAGTTCATGCCTTGGTATGCAGGGGTCCTGGGTTTGTTCCCTGGCATAACAGGGTTCCAGGACCACCACCTGGAGCAACCCCCGAGCCCAAAGCTGGGAGTAACACCAAAGCACTGCCAGTGTGTGCCAAAAAACAGATGGGGCCAAAGCAATAGTCCAGCGGGTAGGGCATTTGCCTTGCACATGGCCAACCTGGGTTCAATCCCAGGCATCCCATACGGCGGTCCCCCAAGCACAGCCAGGAGTAATTACTGAGTGCAGAGCCAGGAGTAACCCCTGGCATCGCTGGGTGTGACCCAAAAAGCAATATATATATATATTAAATCATATTTATCATATTACTCTCACACACATTTCTTTTCTAGAAACATTATTAGCAATTCTGCATCATTAAGCCATTTATGTGGCTGCATTAATATATGGACTGGAGCGATAGCACAGCAGGTAGGATGGCTGCCTTGCACACGGCTGACCCGGGTTCGATTCCTCCATTCCTCTCGGAGAGCCCAGCAAGCTACAGAGAGTATCCCGCCCTCACGGCTGAGCCTGGCAAGCTCCCCGTGGTGTATTCCATTTGCCAAAAACAGTAACAGGGCTGGAGAGATAGCACAGTTTGCCTTGCAGGCGGCCGACCCATGTTCGATTCCCAGCATCCCATATGGTCCCCTGAGCATTGCCAGGAGTAACTCCTGAGGAGTAATTCCTGAGTGCAGAGCCAGGAGTAACCCCTGTGCATCGCCAGGTTTAACCCTAAAAGCAAAACAAAACAAAACAAAACAAAAAAACCAGTAACAAGTTTCATAATGGAGACGTTACTGGTGCCCGCTTGAGCAAATCAATGAACAATGGGAGGACAGTGCTACGGACAGTACTACAGACAGTGCATTAATATATGTATACATATTTATCTTTGTACATATGTAAACATATAGGCTGATAGTGAGAGGGAAAAGAAAGAGAGAATAGAAAGTCACCCAGTCCTAGCAAATGAACTTCTCCATAATATAAGTTTCAATTTTTTGTTTGTTTTGTTTTTGTGCATACCTAGCACTGTTCAGGGCACTTACCTGGTTCACCACTCAGGGATCACTTCTGGCGAGTCTTTGGGGACCATATGTGGTGCCAGAAACAGAACCCAGGTCTGTCTCAATCAAGGCAAGTACTCTGCCCACTGTACTCTCTGGCCCCAAGGTTTCAAAGTTTTAACCAGGGGAGAAAAAAATAAAACAAACATTTCAATTTCCTAGAGTTTGAGAATTGTGCATTCTAATTTCCTCTTTCATCCCTTGTCATTCAAATTCACTGAGGGAGTAACTCCAAACTGAACAGCTAATGACTGAACAACTTTTACTTTTTTATTTTGTTTTTGTTCTATTCTGGGGGAAGCCTCACCCAGAAATGCTGGAGGAAGCTACTCCCCGCTCAGTGCTCACAGCAGGCTAGGGATCAAACCGGGGTGATGTGCATGCAAAATATGTGCTCCATCCTTTGAGCTATCTCCCTGATCCTTCTATGCATAATAGTTAAAATGCAGTCATTTTAATTGCTTTCTTAAGAGTCCATTAAATATAAAGGCATTTTTCATATTCAAATGTACAAAAGGGCATCTACAATATCATCAAAAATACAGTAGCATGTAATATACTTTTCTCCATTCTAACCCCTGGAAAATTAACAAGCATGATAACTCGGGTGTGTCTTTCTTTTTTTCTTTCTGGGTCACACCCAGCGATGCTCCGGGGTCACTGCTGGCTCTGCACTCAGGAATTACTCCTGGCGGTGCTTGAGGGACCATAAGGGATGTTGGGGATGGAACCCGAGTGGGTCGCATGCAAGGCAAACACCCTACCCGCTGTACTATCGCTCCAGGCCCCCGGATTTTAACCCCCCTAAACTTCTATTCCTCAGCTTAGACTTTAGAATCAAGGCAAAAATGAAAGTCTGAAATGTTCCAAAAACTGACACGAATCATACACACAACCTAACTCTAAGAAGAGTTTTTAAACATAGTGGAAGCGCTCAGTTGCAATCATATTGAAACAATAATAATAATAAGAGCAAAAGTTCTTGGCGTCCTAAAACCAGAAAATAAATGCTGAACCACCGGCCTCTATGCCACAATCCTTCCCATGCTGAATTATCCTCTGAACGCACCTTCAAATAAAACGCAATCCTTCCTCCCAAGCTGCCAATCCAAAAACCACTCCCAGCTCTAACTACCAGCGTTCAAGCACAAACTTGGACCACATCAGCATCCCACCTCCAGAAGAATCCCCTTTTCTCCCACCGCGCCATCCTCTGAGGACCTCCTTTTCTCTGACCAAGAGGGACAAAAAGGGGGCTCCCTCTGCATTCGGTTGTCCAGACTCTCACTTTGGAGCCAAGCTGTCCGGAGCCCACCCAGCTCAGGCGCGGCTCCAGCGGGCCTCCCTCCGGCTCTCATCCGTAATTCACTCGTAATTCACCAGCGCCCAGTCCCGCGCAGGGGTCTGCACCCGGCCGACCCCTGCCTGTAGCTCTCTCCCCGCTGGCGCCCCGATCCCACCCATCCAAACGATCGTCGCCGGCACCCGCGTACCTGGTACTCCAAGCCAGGTACTCCCTTGCCCACGCCTGCTTCCCGGCTGAAGCCGGGTGCAGAGCTGCAGCCCGGTCGCTGGGGCGGAGTCCTTCCGGGGTCAGGAGAAGGAGGGTGGAGAGAAAGTGGTGGGGGCCTCTGGCCTTTCGGCGTGAGGGGCAGCGTGTGAAGCTGCTCACGCCATTTTTGTTTTGGGTACAGGCGCAGGCGTTGACAGGTGGATGAAAAGACCTCCTCCCTCCCGTGCTGCCAACTTGTGCCGTGTCGCTAACCATCCTGCGAAGCTGGTGACAGCGGGCCCTTGCTCCTAGAAAAAATGCACAGGCTTCCTCCCTAGAGTGCGAAGAGGAAAAGCGAGACAAATTCAGACCACAAAAACACAAGAGATCCAGATTAAGAACTTTCTTTTTATAATGGCTGGAATAATACTTTATGACTGTCTATACAATCATATGTATGTACCATATTTTGTTTAGCCAGACATTTGCTGATGTATATATTTTACTATTGGGGAAGATGTTATCGTGAATGAACCATTGGTATGCCAGTATCTGTTTTTGAGATCCTCCTTTAAATACCTTCGGGTATAATACCTAGGGGTGAAATTTCTGTACCGTATGGTAAATCTACTTTTCATTCTTTGAGGATCACTGAATGGTTTTTCACCGTGATTAGACCATTTGTTTGTTACCAGTAATATACGGAGATTCCAATTGAAATAAAGAAAGGAAGAGAGAGAGAGAGAGAGAGAGAGAGAGAGAGAGAGAGAGAGAGAGAGAGACAAACTGTGGATACAGTCTCCAAACAAATGCCTTTTAAGAAGCATCCCAGCCTGTATCAGTGAGGAAGTTATTATTAATTTCATTTCTCTTCGCTTTTCCCCATGTTTCTCCCTCTGGATTAGGTAACTAAAGAAGAAACCAACACAGCCAATTGTGAAGGCATGCATAGGGTAGTCACTGCTGAAAGACTAATACACCATAAATTAATGGGAGAGGGAGAAGAAACCAACAAACAAAAAATCCACAAGACACCATCTCTATGTGCAGTCTTGAGCACAAACACAATCAGAATTGCTGATTTTAAAGTTCCAAGAGCTCTAGAACATCTGCCTTATAAGCCTGAGGTCATGAATTCCATCCCTCACCCCTCACCACACCCCACATGTCCCAGAAGAATCATAGCAGTTCGACTGTTAGAGACTTCCAGGGCCATGACTAAGTGTGCAATTTCCAGCACATCACAACCACATATGTGGAAACACCACAATTAAAATGTGCGACAACCCGTCTAGCACCATAACCAAGAGCAAAAGTTCCACAACCAAGTATGTACAAACCCCAGTCTTTGCAGAAAGAAGAAAGGGAAGAAAAATTCTAACTGGGCAGGAGAGATGTTAGGACTCCTGAACACAAAGCCACAAGTACCCTCTGAACACCACCAAGTATGGCCTAAAAAATTATAAACAAACAACTTCATTTGCTGGGGCTGCAAAGACAACTCAAAGGCCCAAGTACAATCAGAGGCCCAGATTCAATCCCAAGCACCACAAGGCACCCCCTGAGGACAATGTATGTGGTCACAAAACATAACAAAATTCCAATTGCTGGGTAGGTTTATGATGAAAAGCCAAGAAAATTTTGTAATGATAACTAATACAAAATAGCATGCATTACTATTCCTATCAAAGGAATAAGACTAAGAAAAGTCCTGTTAGTTTTCAAAATTCTCATTTAGTCAAGTAGAAAACAGGAAGAATGAAAATATCCTTTTGTGGGATATTAGCTAAATTATAACTAAAATTGTTCAAAATTAGTCCTGTGTGAAATATCTTGCATTTACAAAGTAAACGAAGCTCTTGACACTTTAGGAAAATGGAATTTAGTTTTTTGGGTTTTTCTTAGGTTTAATCTAGTCAATTAATTTTCTTTATTTTGTTTTGGGGCCACGCCCAGCAGTGCTCAGAGCTCAGTCCTCTTTGCAAATAGGGATCACTCTTGGAAGGCTCCGAGAATTATATAGAGTTACAGGGATCAAACTCAGGTCATCCAAGGCTAGCACTTTAACCAAAGCATTATCTCTCTCGTCCCCTTAAGAAACTAAAATTTGTTAGCTATTTATGTTTATTTCCAATCTTTTTTCTGTTACCTTCTTTCTACTTCTCATGATTTTCAAACATTCAACTTAATAGGAAGAGCAATAATAATAATAGCTATAATTTAGAGTAACTTTCCCAAGAATATTATTGCTTTTTTATTCCCCAAGAAACATCAGGAGAGAGGTATTATTACACATTAGGAATGGACTTAAATGTTTTCTCTTATTTTAATATTTAAGAGAAAACTGGAAATATCCTATTTTTAAATTTATTTTTCTAAATCAAATTTATTTTTCTAAATCACTTCCAGGAATGATCCCTAATTGCAGATCCAAACTAAATCCTGAGCTCTGCTGGGTGTGGCCCCCAAACAAAATTAAGGAAAATTAATTAACTAGATTAAAATTTTAAAAAATAAAATAAATTCCGGTTTCCTTAAGTGTCAAGAGCTTCGTTTACCTTCTAAATGCAAGCTATTTCACATAGGACTCAGTTTGAACAATTTTCTTTATTTTTCTAAACAAAAATAATTTTCTATGAGTATTCCTTCTCAGTTGGCATGACAGTCATCTTCATAATTTCCAAGTGTATAACTAGATTACTGTTAGTTATAAGCAAAAGAAAACCCAACTAGGACTGAGTGTTAGTATAGCAGGTAGGGCTCTTGCTTTGCACGCAGCAATACAGGCTCGACCCTTGGCACCATATGAGGTCACCCAAGCTTACCAGGAGTGACCCCTCAACTGAGAGCCAGGAGGAAGTCCTGAGCATAACCAGGAATAGATCCCCCCAAAATAAATAACAACAATATAATAGGAACTCCAACAACTTGACCTCTCTTTCTTTAATTCTGTGTCTTCTAGAGGAGTCTCTAAAGGCTATATGCTATCCGTAGAGAGCTTTGGTAGCAGAATGTGTGTGTTGTGGGTGGAGGAACCGGGGCTTGGGTAGACTTGCAATGGATGTGAAATGCCACAAAGAGGTAGCCAAGCTTAAGTTATATTCAAAGGTTATAGCTTGGAGCTGGGGTGATAGTACAGCAGGTCGGGCATTCATTTTTTACACTGCTGACCCCAGTTTGATCCCCGGTATCCTGTATGGTCCACTGAGCACCACCAGGAGTAATTCCTGAGTGCAGAGCCAGGAATAACCCCTGAGCATCACTGGGTGTGACCCCAAAAGTACACAAAACAAAACCAACAACAAAGGTTGTAGCTTCACTTTAGTAGCTAGAAGGAGCCTCTAATAATTAACCACAGATTCCCCCAAATGTTATGAAATTAAACACTAAGATGATTCCAGCAAGTGAGTCAATAGTTGAGGAATCCACAGAGTCCCTAATGTCAGCATTTAGGAGCATCTAACCTGCAGAGGGTTCCAAGTCATATTGAACCATGAGCTTGGATATATCTGATGTTTTATTTAGGACATATAGGATCATCCAGTTGAGACAGTGTATGGTAAATGTACTTCATGGATTACTAATGGAAAAATTACTAAAAAAAATTACTACTTTTTAGGTGACAACATTAAGCCATCCAAAGTCTAGCCCTTGCAAGAATTAAAAACAATGATATTATGTAAGTAGATAAACACTTTAAGGCTATCCACACATGCAACTGCTTGTTCCATTAACTGCTAAAACCTGGCAGAATCCCCAGAAGCAACTCAGGATCCCCTTTTAAATCTCTTAGGGCTAAGGAATATAGCTCAATGGAAAAGCTCCTGCATTAAAGGCATAAGAACCCGAGTTCAAGCCCTGACACCACCCCACAAATGTGACCATTTGTGACCCCTCAGTGTCCCAAGAAGGGATAGCATCTCCAATACACTGTAACCAAGTAAATGTATTAATAATTATTAATAATAGTTTTAATACTGCTATTACACACACTTACGTAGAAATAAGTTGTTAGGGTGGGGGGGGGAGGCGGGGAGAGGGATACTGGGTTCATTGGTGGTGGAGAATGGGCACTGGTGGAGGGATGGGTGCTCGATCATTGTATAACTGAAACCCAAACACGAAAGTTTGTAAGTCTACAACTGTACCTCATGGTATTTCACTAATAAAATTTTTTTTTAATAAATAAATAAATAATTGGTTAGGGTAGAATGACAAGACAGAGGGTAAGTTGCTTTCTTTGCATGTAGCTTATCTGGATTTTATCCCCAGCACTACATACATATGCTCTCCTGAGCACAGAGTCAGGAGTAAGCCCTGAGCACAGCCAGGTGTGACTCAAACCCACTCTCCACCCAGCACAAAAAGCCCTAAGTTTTCAGACCCCACACTCAAATGTGTAAAATCCCTAGGCACTGGAATAACAAAGAGAAGGAAAGAGGGAAAATAATAAATAAATACAATTATAAAATGCCATACAGTACATACTCACCATATCTTTGTTGCTACCACCCATCTGGAAGTATTTGATAGGACTCCTGTATCACTCTGTATCTATCTTTTTACTTTTTTTGCAGTGTCAGGGATAGAACTCAGGGCCTTACACATGCAGGGCAAGAGTTCTTCTACTAACCCAAATCCACAGTCCTAGAAGTCTCAACTAAACTAACCAAGAAATACAGAATTCAGACTATAGTTCTAATTGTTTAATTGTTAATTTAGAATAAATATTTCATATGCTCCCAGATAGTTCTGATTTAGTTTCTTAAAATGAATGGTAAAATAGGAGTGATAAACAAGGAGATAGCTCCAAAGTATGCATGTTGACATATCCGATGGCCCAAGTTATATCCTCAGGCACTTCTGGCCCCAGAAATGTCATGGTCACCCTGGTGGTCCCTAGCACTGCTGGGCTCAAGTGGCATTGCATCATCATGCCCAAGCATTGAACTGAGAGGCCTTTGTGGCCAGGCTGAGTATCATCAGAAGTGGCCCAGGCAACTTAAGCATTGCTTGGGAACTCTCCCTCTAACAGTTAAAGAGTTACCTAGGGCCCAGGAATTCCAATCCTATATAACCCCCCTGAGAAATGAGAACATACAA